CAAAATATTTTACTCAAGATTACCTCGCAAACTACATAATTGGTAGGCATGCAAAGGTTAAAGTATTTCTACCAGAATACGATGATTATCTAGATGTTTTTATGAAGACCGTGAAGGATGGGCGGCCGGCCATCATAAGGGGTTGGACTAGAGTCGTGCATGCCTTCTGCATGGAGGAGGGCACAATATGGGCATTCCGATTCACCTTGTTCAGCAACCAGAATGTATTTCGCCTCTTTCTTTACCATCTTTAATAGTACAAGTATACAATTGTGGTTCATCATTCTTTATTTGGTTCTTATGTAATTTTTGAACATATGTACCTATGAATCGAATAATGCATTGGTTGTTTGAACCTGATGGATATGAATAAAGTTGTAGCATAGATTCAAATTCAAATTCAAATCCGGTACAATTTGAAATAGCAGCAATTAAATTACGGTGAAATTATGCTCTCCAGGTCGTTACGGCACACACGGTTGGTAAAACACAAACGTTTGCGATATACATCATAATCTGAGACGGTTCATAGAGAGGAAACATGTGCAAGCATGCACACAATTGCCGTTTGCAAAGCATGTGCAATGTCAAACAATATCACAAACGATGCGGGCAAACTAAACGTTTGTGTTAGTTGCCTTATCGTACACGATTTGCAACCATGAATTGTTTCTGATGAAATATGCATCGTAAATGTTGCATCATAGAATAGTGTGTGCGATAGTTGTCGTGTATGACGATGTTACGATGGTCCGACGTTTTGTAATCCTGTCGGACAGTCGTACGACGATTAGCTAATCTTCTTAATTAGTTATCGCATATGATTTGAGAAAAGCGAATGTGTGTGATTGTATGCTTATCATACACGTTCTATAATAGTGAACCGTTTGTGATGGGCCGCACATCGTAAATGTAGCACCATAGAATACCGACTATGATGGCAATGCGAGCACAAACGAGTAGGAGTACTGTAGGGTCCCTATCTCCCCGGCGGTTTCTGCCTTTCTGGGTCGTGTGGGAAGGACCCCCCTATCGCCACTAGGCGACGGTTCCAAATGCCATCGCGGAAAGGGGTTAAAACCGTTTGTATCACCGACGCGTACCAGTGAAGTCTCTTTACTCGTTCCATAATACATCACCTTGTGACTAACTCCTTAGTCATTTGCTTGCAAGCTTATGATGTGTATTACCGAGAGGGCACAGAGATACCTCTCCGGTACTCGGAGTGACAAATCCTAATCTCGATCTATGCCAACTCAACAAATACCTTCGGAGATACCTATAGAGCATCTTTATAATCACCCAGTTACGTTGTGACGTTTGATAGCACACAGGGTATTCCTCCGGTATTCGAGAGTTGTATAATCTCATAGTCGAAGGAATAAGTATTTGACATTGAAAAGGCAATATCAATAAACTGAACCATCAATATGCTAAGCTAATGGATGGGTCTTGTCCATCACATCATTTTCCTAATGATGTGACCCCGTTATCAAATGACAACACATGTCTATGGTTAGAAAACTTTAACCATCTTTGATCAACGAGCTAGTCTAGTAGAAGTTTACTAGGGACACAATATTTGTTTCTGTATTCACACATGTATTTAAGTTAATGATCAATATAATTATAGCATGAATAATAAACCTTTATCATGAATAAGGAAATATAATATAAAATAACAACTTTATTATTGCCTCTAGGGCCTTTAAATTTACCATTTTGATGTCTGATTGCCTTATTAGTTTGGTAGGTGTGGTGGTATAAGGTTTTTGCCCCATGATAGATGCTTCGAGGTTGATCTTCTATAGCGGATTTCATGACAGTGTCCCAACGCGCTCCCTCTTTCCTAGTTTCCTGGTATTTCTGTGGTCGTGAATGATGCTTGGTTGTAAAACTAGATTGATGTTGTCATCTTTCTGTTGAGCGGTTAATGGAAAGGAGGTTGTCCGGTTGAAAAAAAGTTGTTTGTACAACAACATAGTGAATTTGAAATCACGAGAAAAGACTAGCTTCAAAAATATTGCACTAGGCCTCTTGCAAAGGATGGATTCCAGCTCCACAAAGTTAGAGCGTTCAAACTGGCTTCATGCATGGAGTTCGAGCTAGATGAGATCTGAATGGGCCCATTATATTTGTTTTATATTTACTTACAAAGCAGCGAAATTAGGGGTACCCCCAAGGGGCACTTTCCTGGGTGTGAGCGCGCGACCACGCCACGTGGTGCGTTCATCTGTCGCCACATAGGGCGCTCACCTCCACAGTAATCTTTGTACTAGTTTTTTTTGAATTTTTTTATTAAGTTTACAGATTTTGCATAAATTTCTCTAGTTATTATTGGGGTTTTATCATTTATGCCATTAGTTGCGTCTCACTACTCAGTTTTGTCATTAGAAATTACAACTGCTCAAAAATGTCATCATTTTTGTGAGAGCATCTCCAACAGCCGCGCTTCGCGCCACGCGCTAAAAAATAGTTTGTCGCGCATCGTTCGCCTGGTTTTGCGCGGCCGCCTGCGCTGGCTCCAACAGCCGCGCTAAAATGCAGCGCGCGCGCCGCTCCAGCAGCGCGCGCGACTCGCCGGGGCATTGCATATATGGCATTTTGAACACAAAATAAATTTGAAACATTCAAAATGCAATGAACATGACATATAAAATTTCACACAAACAAGTTGATGAATAAAAGTTCATGCCCACAAGTTCATCCAACCAAGTTCAAAATGCAAACCAAGTTCAAGACACAAATGAAAGACACATCAATCCTCGTCCTCGTCTTCGTCCTCATCTTCAGAAGACGATTCTTCCGCCTCCGAAGATGAATCTTCCTCCCTTTCCTCATCGCGCACCGCATCACGTGAAGCTTCGACGGTGTTGAAAGATCTTCAACGGCATCTTCATGGAAATGTGTGTGAGGAGGCACATCAAAAGACATTTCGCCCATGACGGCCGGAGGTGCACCCATGCCTCCCATGAGAGAAGCAAAACTCATGCCTCCCATGGCGGCCTTAGAGTCGGGGGGTGCTCCAAAGCCACCCATGCCTCCCATGGCACCTAAACCGCCCATGGTACCTCCGAAGCCACCCATGCCACCCATGGCGCCAAGGCCACCGCCACCCATTACGCGCGTCAGCCACCGGCTCAACGTGTGAGCTCGTCGGCGCTTCGGTAGCCGTCACGCCCGTCGCACGCCCTGCAAGCTTCTTCCTCCTCGCCTTCGAGGTGCCGGAGCCGTCCGCCGCCTTGTTCTTCTTCGCCGATGTCTTGCCCTTCTTTGATCGCGCCGCATTGGGGAGCTTCGAGGAGGGGGCGGCGGCTTGAGTCAGCGCCGGCGCGCCGCCACCCGCCACCAAGGTCATCCGCGGCGGCATGAAGAGGCGCGCGCGCGAGGCCGATGGTCGGAGGAGCTCCGGCGGAGGCAAGGCCAACGCCACCCGCACTAGGGTTTGCGGCGGCGGCGACAACGGTGGAGGGGTCGCGGCTATAAGATGGGGTGAGCAGGGTGCCGACGCGTGCGTCCATGGGTGCAGTTCGCCGGCGCCGGTGCGCGCGGGGCGTAGGAGGCGGAGAGGAGAGAGTGCGGCGTGAGCGCTCGAGTGTGCCGCGCGCGGAAGCGGGCGCCCTAAATACGCCGCGCAAGATAGCGAATCCAACCGCGCGCCCAACTCCTTATACCGCGCGCGCGGTTATTGCGCGCCCGCTGGAGCCACCCGTCGGGTTGCGCGCGCGCTAAAATGGCCAAATTTGCGGCGCGACGCTTGTTTAGCGCGGCTGTTGGAGATGCTCTGAGATACTTGCTCAAAAATGCCATTAGATATCTAAAAAAATGCCATCTTTTCATTACCATTACACATCATCATTGTGAGGTCAAACACGTTTGACAATGTTATATGACAAAAATTCTCCTATACCCACATGTCAGCACTGTCCATCTCACAATGATAAGTATGGACCTCATTTGTCAGGAGTAAGTAACCAAATAATTTTAGAGTAAAATAAAAACGCTGTTGGATCAAGTGGGATCCACACTTTATTGTAGTGAGATAGAGGAAGAACTGACATGTTGGTCTATAGGAATTTTGGTCATTATAACATGAAAACGAGATTTGAGCTGACAATAATGGTGTCTAGTGGCATTTTTGAGGATGCGTCTAACGAAGCGTGGTATTTTTGAGCAGTTGAAATTCTTAATGGCAAAACTGAGTAAACGCAATGAATGGCATAAATGATAAAAACCTTTATTATTATTATTATTATTATTATTATTATTGGTTTCCCTCATTTTATTGGGTTTCCGTGGATACAATGCACCTCACGTGGAAACATAATTTTCTGCTTCGTGTTAGGCGCACGAGTTAATACTATATGGGACAGTGGGAGTACAGGTTAATATTAGGCGGGAGCACAAGTTAGTTCACGTGTTGGTTGGAAGCACATGTTAGTTTGGAAAAAAGATGTTCATCCAAACCTTCAATATGTAATCTAGTTTTAAAGATATTGACACAAAGAATGCAACGATGAACACTTATCGTGATTTAGACACACGATTCAAGAATATGTTGTTTTGAAAGGATAAATCTCTCTAGAAAACACGAAAAACCCACGCGTACATTCCGTACGTGGAAGAAATACCCGTGTTGCAACAAGTGTCGTGATGCACAATTTGTCATCAGAAAATGTGAGAATGACCTTTGCAATTGACACCCTTTCTTTTTAATTATACTGATTTCGGCAGATTTTTTTGGGAGGCAATAAAGCGATCGGAAGACCTTTTTTTTCTGAGGCAATAAAGCAATCGGCCCATACCATCACACGTAGGCCTTCTTCTTCTTTCCCAAGTAAACACCACCGAAGCCCAGCCCGAAACACCACCTCTCCCCAAAGCCGCCGAGCTTGCCTGCGCGCACACAATCGAGCAACCCAGCCAAGGCACGACACGACCGCCTCCGCCGCCCGGGAAGCCCAAAACAAACCCTAAGCCTCCGCGACCGGCCGCCGGCGATGGCCCGCTACGACCGCGCGATCACCGTCTTCTCCCCCGACGGCCACCTCTTCCAGGTCGAGTACGCCCTCGAGGCCGTCCGCAAGGGCAACGCCGCCGTCGGCGTCCGCGGCACCGACACCGTCGTCCTCGGCGTCGAGAAGAAGTCCACCCCCAAGCTCCAGGACTCCAGGTACCAGCGAATCCCCCTTCCCCCCCTCGCTCCCCCTCGCCTTCCGGCCCGCAGATCTCATCTCGCCGGCTCCGCAGGTCGGTGCGCAAGATCGCGAGCCTGGACACGCACGTCGCGCTGGCGTGCGCGGGGCTCAAGGCGGACGCGCGGGTGCTCATCAACCGCGCCCGCGTCGAGTGCCAGAGCCACCGCCTCACCGTCGAGGACCCCGTCACCGTCGAGTACATCACTCGCTACATCGCCGGCCTGCAGCAGAAGTACACCCAGAGCGGTGGGGTACGCCCCTTCGGCCTCTCCACCCTCATCGTCGGCTTCGATCCATACACGGATAAGCCCGCCCTGTACCAGACCGACCCCTCCGGCACCTTCTCCGCCTGGAAGGCCAACGCCACAGGGAGGAACTCCAACTCCATGAGGGAGTTCCTGGAGAAGAACTACAAGGACACCTCCGGCAAGGAGACCATCAAGCTCACCATCCGTGCTCTGCTAGAGGTATTTGTGCTGCACTTGCCTCTCTTTAGTTTTATGCAACAGAATAGACCTCAATTTGCACTATATGGTTGCTCTGATTATTTCTGATGCTGGTGTTCCTAGCAAGATCCAGCGCAAGTAGCTCGTTAGCGGTAAATGTGTTCAGCTAACTGGATATACTGATTAAGTGCACAAGTATTTGAGTTGCCTTTGGAAATATGACAGTGAATGAAATAGTTTATACTTTCATTACTCAACTAAGGATTTGCTTTATCTTTTTCATGCCACAATATGAGTATTGCTTCAAGTTAAAGTTAATAGCAACTGGACAGCAGGCATGCCAAACTAATGCTTAAAAGCACTGGGGTGTACTGAGTGAACTGTAAGGCCTTGCTTGCCACTCATAGGTGTGGTAGTTTTCTTTGTCGTAGCAATCTTACGTCTGGTGGAATGAAGATGAAAATGAGGAATTGTGACAGGTACTTATGACGAGGCATTTACATAGCTACTCCTGGTGCAGCTTTCTTTAGTTGTGCCGAGAAGCTTGTTTAGGCCTCTGTGAATACTGAATTTACCATTGTCTGATTCACTCCATTCTGTATAGCAAGGATTAATTTATCAAGCACATAGGTGCCTTCTGGAAATATCAAGATGCATAGAATCTCTTTATTCTCTTATGTACTTGGATTTACTCGATCTTCGTCATGCCACAATAGGAGTATAGCTTCATCAAACTAAAGTAGCAACTGAGTGTCAGACTTGAGTGTTGGCTTCTGAGTGAACTGAAAGGCCTTGCTTGCCACTCATAGATGTGGTAGTTTTCTTTGCCGTGGCAATCTTACATCTGGTGGAATGGAGATGAAAATGAGGAATTGTGACAGGTACTTATGACGAGGCATTTACATAGCTACTCCTGGTGCAGCTCCTTTTAGTTGTGCCGAGAAGCTTGCTTAGGCCTCTGTGAATACTGAATTACCATTGTCTGATTCACTCCATTCTGTATAGCAAGGATTGATTTATCAAGCACACAGTATTTGAGGTGCCTTTGGAAATATCGTAGAATCTCTTTATTCTCTTACATACTTGGATTTACTTGATCTCATGCCACAATGGGAGTATAGCTTCAAACTAAAGTAGCAACTGAGTGGCAGACTCCCCAAACAGATGCTGAAAAGTACTGGTGGGTGTTGGCTGCTGAGTGAACAAAAGGCCTTGCTTGCCACTCATATATGTGGTAGTTTTCTTTATGGAGCAATCTTAGTTTAGTGGAATGGAGGTGAAAATGAGGAATTGTGACAGGTACTTATGATGAGGCATTTACATAGCTACTCCTGGTGCAGCTCCTTTTAGTTGTGCCGAGAAGCTTGCTTAGGCCTCTGTGAATATTGAATTACCATTGTCTGATTCACTCCATTCTATTAAGAAAATTACAACTTAAGTTGAGAGTATATACGCATAGCCCCAACAAACATGGGACTTTCTATCTACTCCTGTCTCATGGATGTTATGCAACTCGGAAGTCTATCATGCAATTGTTAGATGTCTGTGGCCCATCCTCTGGCTTATGCTCTGTATCAAGAGAGTATGTGTGCATAGCCCCAAATTTAGTGAGTATTTTATTGAATTTTCTTTATATAGCAGAATCTTGAGGAACGATGTTAACCTTATAGTGATCTAAACGCTCTTATATTTCTTTACAGAGGGAGTACTTCTTTATTTGCTGAGTCAGCGAGACCAGTTTGTATCGTTTGCCATATTTGTGTGCAATATAGGTTACATCTGTGCTTTAACTTTTGCAACATTTCTGAATAACGGTTCTCTGCTGCCATTTGTTTCCATGAGTGTGTCGGGCCATTATTCACCAATTGAACTTCATGGATCTGGAACTTGTGCGGTTGTACCAAGCATACATACTGAATTTTGTATGTGTAGTACTAGAACCTATAATGTCCCGCATCTAGATTCTTTGTAGGGATGGTATTTAGTTGCAATTTGACTGTCAGCATTGATTTATCTATGCTAGGTTGGTGTTTAGGTTGCAGGATCCTAATGGAATTGCTTGATCTTTTCTCTCGTCTCCTTGACACTAACTTTATCCTTTACTATTTGTCAAAGAAAAAACGAAGTTATGAACATCAGAACATATGATGTGCACTATAATTTCAGTGTATCCTTCCAATTTTGTTTCCGTTCTGCAAGCACTAATAGCTGACAAAACCTTTCAGGTTGTTGAGAGTGGTGGGAAGAACATTGAGATTGCAGTGATGACAAAGAAGGACGGCCTTCGGCAACTCGAGGAGACTGAAATCGATGAATATGTTGCCGAGATTGAGGCAGAGAAGGCCGCGGCAGAGGCGGCAAAGAAGAGTGGCCCGAAGGATACCTAATTACTTGATGTGCTATATCTTCATTCTGTCGGCCGAAACCTTTTAGTGTGTCACTTGTTACGTTCCGTAACTTTCTTTAAACTGCTTTAACAAGATATTGAAGTCATTCGTAAATGAATTGCCTTGTTTTCTTGATGGCTCATGGTCCAGGGGTTTCGTTTCCCTTTCCCCTTTCCAGCGTTTGAACCTTGCGCAAATGTATTATTCTTCATCTGCTCCTCTTGTATTCGCAGATGGTTAACCAGAAGACTGGCAAACCGTAGTTTCTGAAGCTGTGGTTGCCATGCTATATGGGCTCGTGTTAATCTCACTGGATAGTGCTGGTGTGTTTGTTGCAATGTCAATTCACTTCCGGTCCTGATGATGTCACCTGAGAATGCTGGTGCTTTCTTACGGCATGTACAATGGTGGCATATGGATACATATGCCCCATGACAAAAAGTAATTTAAGGCACTTACATTAATTTTTTCTCTTCAATGCAAACTATCACTAGTGAGTCTCATTAAAAATTGAAAATAAAAACTCTAGTACACATGCATCTCTACTTTTCACTCTAACCTTTTCAACTTTTGTCACCGGACCATACTTTTTCTCTTCAAGCACCCGTCTCCTGGAGAGGATCCCGCTTTCCTATCCGAACCTACTTTACGTCATATCCGATCCTACATGGCATGCGAGACATCACCTTGAGGCTATGCATTGTACATGCCCTTAGTATTCTTGGTATGCCTACTTTGGATCATGACAGTCTCATCTGATAATCTATGCTATTGCTTTCGACCCGCCATGGTATACGATTGCAAAGTTGCGCCACTTTGTGCTATTCTTTTGTGTGATGATACGTGAACTCATAAGTTACTGGCTGAGGTACCCTGTTACACGTCAGAGGCCTATTATCCTATTATCGTTGAATTTTTAACTCTGTTGACAACTTGCAAAACCTAAGAGGAATTTATTACCGGCTACTATGCTTTTGCTTTGTTTATTTGTGCATATCTGGCAGCGCCTCCACCCGCACTACTTTCTGCCTGTTCAAATCTGGCCGGTGGCACTGAACTAGAGTATTTTGAAAACCAGCACGACATATCGCATATGCGTGCACGTGCACGACCGGATATTAAGCTTGCACACCAGACACTAACCCAGCAGGCGTGCACACATATGCTAGTGAAAGAAACAGTTGGTCACTTCAACTACGACGGACACAAACTCCTCTCTTATCTTTTTGTTGAAACTTGAAAGGCATTCCTCACACTCTACCTCGGCGCATCTCAGCCGCTTCTTTTTTCCTCATCCATTTGGCCTGCCCAATTTATAGCAAAGAAAAAGATGAAGGACCTCATGAGATTTCTTTTTCATGTATTTGGCTTTCTCGATTTGGAAAAGAAAACATGAAGGTCCGTGTGAGAAATTGGCCCTCTTTCTCTATGCTAGAGTGAGCATAGAGAAAGAGGACCAATTTCTGACTAGTAATTAAAAATGTTGAAACTCTGACTATTAGATTTAGCGGTACACTGTGTAAATCTTCAATATTCGTTATTCAATGATTTCTTCCGTCAAGTTCACCCTGCTAAGCTTTTAACATTCACTACTAGATTTTGTTTTTATGTCATTCGATTCATTGTCCAGGTGTGATGTGTATCTAAGGCTTCACCGCAATTTTGTCGAGAGCTACCATCACTTTCATTGCGGCGGATTCTATTTCATCCAATTATAGCAATTTGGGCAAGCCATCTCATTTATTCTTGTATTGTATGGATAGACTCGTCGTTTTTGGCATGAGGTGCACATGTACTCTCATTCTTTCTTGTTAACTCTTGCTTCGAGGTTTGGCAACTACATTGCCCGTTATCAATACCTACCCTCCGAATATCGAAGGCACCCTGAACAAATATTCAAGGTGGCCAAGGACAAATGGATCAACACCGAAAGTACTCCCCCGGCACAAGGAAACCTTGCTAACCTCCGATAAAACCTCTAAGCCACAAAGGCAACATCACCTTCATCCAGCCCATAGCAGTGGTCAACAAATCGTCCGCTAAGTGCCAGCATGATGAAGTAGTTCGGACAGACATGGCCCACTTCTTGGACGACAACATAGTCGAGCGGGTGGTCCAGGAGGGACTAGATTGCTTGTTACTCCCTTTATAAAGAAATACAAGATCGTTTGTACTACCCATAATGAGAGTAGTATCGAGAGTAACATAGATGACGCCTAAGCAAAAAAAAAATAACGTGTCAGCTAATTAATGAGAGAGACAAATTGAGTAATAAGATGAGTCTACAACTTGCTAAATAAAGTATTGCATGACATCACACATATATGTTTCTCCTCACTGTAAAGTTAATAACACAGACTAGTAACATGCATTACTCCCCACTATGGATAGTCCTTATAGATCACTCTAGGGAGTATATTCAAAGTCCAGGGCCCTTTCTGCGTCACATAAGAAGGCCATAGATGTAAACCGTCTTTCATTCAAGGTCCTTATTGTAATATAGTATGCGGTTTACTCCGTCTGCTTGTGGGCCCCTCGCGGTGGAAAAAAAGAAAAGAAAGAAAAGGCACGATTGATAACGAGCACAACCTGCTTCTACCGTTCCACGACGACGTCTCCCAATCTCCTCCTCTCCCACCATCCCCCGCCGCCGGCCGAGCCCTCCAGCGGCCAGCGCCGCCGCCGCCGCCGGCCGACCTTCCCGCGGAAGCGCGACGCCTGGGAGTCTCCCCTCCCCTCTGCTGGATTGGCTCGGAGCGGACGGGAGATCCATCCAGGCTCTGCTGGTAAGGAAGCCCTAGCGCGGCTCTTCTGGGGTTTCTGTCCCCCGTGTTTTCCTCTGCTGCCAGCAAATCGAATTCGACCCGTTCTCGCTCCATGCAGCTGGCCACGGATTTGCTCGCTGCCGCGCCTCGTGCTAGCCGGGCCTCTTGACGGTTCGACTTGGCTCTTCGAGATCTCAGCCTGTTTTCCAGAAATTTTGGGGGTTCAGGAACCCCCGCGCCATGGAGTCAGGTGACGAATCTGTTTTATTTTTGATTAGTTTGTTGAGATTCCCCTCATGAAAGTAGAATGTTCAAGGAGATTAGCTTGTGATAATGATTGGATTGAACCATAGTTTTTTTATTTTTTTAAAAGTAGTACTGATAAAGCTCATTTTGAAATAAATCAGCTGAGATTCTGCCATGTTATTTATTCTCTGGGATAGGGTGCCTATTTTTGTTAATCACTGGTCATGCTTGTGAGTTAAGCTAATGTCACCTGCTGGAATTAGTCCTGGTGCGGTGGTGCCCACCGTGTTTTGGGTTAGCTCTGCGGCAGAGCAAGCGAATCAATAAAGCTGTTCGTTATTTGTTCTAACAATTCTTCTGTTCCCACGCTTCTATGGGTAGCAGAAAATCTGCAGCGTTAATTGAATTATACTCCCTGCTTTTATCATTTAGAGTACGCCTAATTTGTCAAAACTATTCTAAAACCACATTTGTTTGAGAAGGGGGATTATATCACGCACGCAGGTGCTTCTCACTGAAGCACCGCAGTTCGGCACCTCTGCTTCTCTTCTGCAACAGGCTAACCTTATGTTCCCACACTTTTACGGGCAGCGAGAATCTGCAGCATTAATTGAATTCAATCACAGTGGTGGGCTGAGCTTACTTATATCTACATTTGCAGTTTTAATTGCTTCTTTTGGTCATAGCTTGACTTTTGCATGATGTATATATGACTAACATCTCACAACAGTGTTCTATTGTGGAGTCCACCTGTAGCTGCTTTGGGCTCAGGTTGTGGTTGCTGAACTATGTTGTGCTGTGCTTATTTTATAATCTGCTGTAGCAATTTAAGCCATAAATAAAAGTATTAAAAGAGGGTATAACAAACACTAAACTAGGTAAAAGCTGATTAACGGGTTATCATAATCCTCTGCAATTGCCAAATGCAGCCTTAGACTAACACTGTTCTCATTGAATGTTCTCAATATAGTATTTTTATATTGCTTTCTTCTCCTATAGCATCCGTTATTGTTGCTTGGTTCTTACATTATCACTGTGCAGGTGATACCAAATTTGATGCATCACAGTATGCTTTCTTTGGTAACAATGTCTTGGAGGAGGTTGAGCTAGGTGGATTAGATGATGATGATGCTGGTGATGCTGGTTTGGTTGGGCCTGGTGACGAAGAATACACTCCTATTTATGGAAGGGATATGTTGGAGGTAAGATATATGATAGATTTGGACATCTCTTCTGTTTTGACGTGACCACCATTGTCCACCTTCTGGTCCTTCCTTTCAAAACAAAAAAAATAAAAATAAATCCACAGTGAATAGGCGTTATGTTTGTGGGATGATGTGCCAAATTGGTAACTTGTGCATTGGTATAGCATCGTGAGGCTTCCTTTTATATCTGATGAAGGATCGCAAACTCCCTGTGGACTTCAGAGCACGAGGAGAGTTTCTCTTAGAAATTATCTTAATTTTTATCACTCTGTTCTAGCCCTTGTTTTCAAGTTTGGTTCATGCCATCAGGAACCTGGTAGTGGATGCAAAGTATGCAACCAATTTTATTATAGGTATACACATGCGACCAAATAGGCAAATAAGAATGTACTCCCTCCGTCCCATAATATAAGAGTGCTTTTGACACTACACTAGTGTAAAAAACGCTCCTATATTATGGGATGGAGGGAGTACATTGTTATGTAAACTAGGAAAGCTAGCATTGTCTCTTGTGATTGCTAACTGTTTTCGTGTATGTTGGTCGAAAGCCTGGTAAAGAATGTAGTTAATTGTATTTTAGGGTTACTAATGCTATCATGTATTCAGAAAAAGTTCCACTTAAACTGAGGAAGTTAACGTATTTATTTTGGAACTATTAGTTAACTCTGTAAAGTGCATTCAGCCATGGTTGGAAATCCTCCTTACATATCCTGGAAAAATTAGAAAGCTTACGTTGAATGCACTATGCGGGAGGTAGTCCTAAGAAATCCTCCTTACATATCCTGGAAAAATTAGAAAGCTTACGTTGAATGCACTATGCGGGAGGTAGTCCTAACTATACACGAGCAAGTTTTAGTTTTTATGACTTCAGGCAGGAACCGTTACAAGTTGTGTGTACTGTGAGCTTCATTCCCTTGAGCTTCTGTTTTGTTTTCACTCACAGTTGGATCACAAACATGCATTTAGGAATGATTTTGGAATTAAGATTGCAAAAGTAGTTCTTTTTTCTGTTGTATAGGAAGGTCAACTGCTCATTGGTAAAGCTTTGCTTTTGCAGGAAGAAGGTGTTGGTTCATTTACTGGTGTTGATGATCTTGCCGGGGCATTCTCAAAGGTTTGATTTCTATGGTACATAGTTCATTTAAGATTAGCGGGTGTATATTTTAAGATTATACTAATATAGTCACATGAGCTCTCATTTGTTTTACCAAAATCAACGTTTACCTAATTTGTATGGTTGCCCTATTTCATTTGTTCCCGTTTGACTGGTGATGCTGATTTATTTATTTACAATTTCAGCTGACCAGAACTGTTAACGAACCAAAGCAATCAGGAATAGTTAGTCGTGGGGGATCGTTACCTGGACAAAGTGAGTAATGCTGGTTTACTCATTTATTTTTGAGGAAATATGCTTTTGTGTTTTAACTTCCTTTCTGTCTTTGAAGGACAATTATGCATGCTGTTAGATAGCATGTTTGCACATGCTTAAGAGATATTCTCTAAATTCTTTCAACTTACTACCACAGCTACAGTTATCATCATGCACTTAACTTGGCTTTGTTGTATGTCTTATGTCTGACTAATGTAATTACTATAATATGGCTGCTACTGCTAGTCTGTCATTGTTTGAATGCAAATCTTGAGTCAACTAATGAAAACAAACAATCTTCATTTTCTTGTTACTTTGTTGAGTGCTATACACATTAACATACTTTTTATTTGTTTAATCGTTTCATTATAATTCTGCACTTTATAGCTTCTACTGCTGACTGGGCACAAGAGGCTGAATCATCATACTGGCCTACACAGCCTGCATTGGGTGCTGAACAACGGCTGGACAACAAAAACTGGTGGTCTCAACCACCCCATCCAGCCCAGTTTGCTGATTCCAGACTTCAGAGGACATCCTCATCCCCGCAACAAGATGCTCAGTACAATCCTATTGAACCTATTCTCGGACCAAGGCCATCTCCTTTGCAGAGAATGTCATCATATCCTCACCAAGAGCCGCAATACAATAATATTGAACTGATTCGTGGGAATGGTAGCAGGTTTACACCAGCTTTGATGCAGCATCCAAATGGATTTATGCCACATCAAATGCCGCCACCCCATCAACAAAATGGAATGCTCCCAATTCAACACTCTCCACCCCAGTTCTCACAACTACATGCCCAGATGCTTGGTGCCCAACATTCTCCGCCACAAAATCTGCCGATGTTTGGTCCTCGGCATCCTTCACCACAAATGATGGGTAGATTTGATCCAAATTTTGTCATGCCTGACTTGAGTGATCCCAGAGCCAGATCGATGTTACACCATGGAAGGCATGGCCCACGCTATCCTCCCCAAGGTTTTGAGCCTGGCAATATGAGAATGGATAATAGGTGGCAGCGGTTCAGATCCAAGTACATGTCCACTGAAGAAATTGAGAACATCGCAAGGATGCAGAAAGCTGCCACTCAGATCACCGATCCATATATTGATGATTACTATCATCAAGCTTGTTTGGCCAGAAAATCAGCAGGAGCACAACTGAAGCACTACTTCTGTCCAACCTTGATCAGAGATACATCTTCTCGTGCACGCAGTAAGGATGAGCCACATGCGTATCTTCAGGTTGATGCTCTTGGGCGGCTCCCATTTTCTTCCATCCGCAGGCCCCGTCCGCTCCTTGATGTTGAAGAAGCCTCTGAACCAAGTGATAGCACTACTGAAAAATCTGCTTCAAAATCTCTTGACCAAGAGCCGATGCTGGCTGCTAGAATCACAATTGAAGATGGCCTTTGCCTACTACTGGATGTGGATGATATAGATCGTTTGCTTCACTTTAGTAAACAGCCAGATGGTGGTTTGCAACTTAGAAACAGAAGACAGGCTCTTCTCGAGCAGCTGGCAGAATCACTGCAATTAGTTGATCCACTTACATCTAATAAGGATGCACCTCTGTCGCAAAATGACGATCTAGTGTTTCTCCGCATAGTATCTCTTCCGAAGGGTCGGAAACTACTTTCTCGTTATATTGATCTTGTTACTTCAGGTAGTGAGCTTGCAAGGATTGTTTGCATGGCAGTTTTCCGGAATCTAAGATTTATATTTGGCAATTTGCCCTCTGATAGCAGCATAGCTGGGACCACAACTAAACTTGTAACTGCCGTTTCCACGTGTGTTGTTCGGATGGACTTGAGTGGACTCAGTGCTTGTCTTGCAGCTGTTGCATGTTCGTCACAGCAACCACCTCTTCGACCTCTGGGATATGCTGCTGGTGATGGCGCTTCTGTCATCATAAAGTCTCTACTGGACAGAGCTACAGAGCTTCTTACTGATCAACATGTGGCCTCTGCTTACAGCATGCAGAACCGAACTCTATGGCAGGCATCATTTGATGCCTTCTTTGGGCTGCTTATGGGGTATTGCATGAGTAAATTTGATACTGTGGTTCATACAGTGCAAATTCAACCTGCTGCTGCAGCTGTGATAAGCAGGGAAACACCAGTGGAGCTGTTGCGTGCCAGCCTTCCTCACACAAATGAGTATCAGCGCAAGCAGTTGCTCAGTTTCGCTCAGCGCACTGTGCCTGTCAACAGCTCTAGTTCTCATGGGTCTGGTAATGTGCCGATGGCATCAGAATATGTCCAGAGCTGAAATAGAAGAACAGAGCTGCTTTTCATAATCTATATACTTGATATGGTATAGTTCTTCGATAATGTTTTAACATAGCTGCTTTCCATCAGTGTTTATTCTAACCTTCTTTTTTATAACTCTGAATCTTGGTAACCCTATGTTCTATCCAATGTGACCCTTTCTTTTACTCGCACTCTGAAAGTGGCAATGTTGTTTTCATCAGATTGCTATCACTTCCATTTTTGCTGAGTTGATGAGACCTGGTTGTTCATACTTAAAGTTGTACTAAAGTTGAGACACTTATTATGGGACGGAGGGAGTACTTTGTTTAAAGTTATACATTTGCAGCTTTTCTCAACAATACCAAAAAAGAAATACTTCCTCTGTTCACTTTTATATGACGTTTTAGACAGTTCAGACAGTGCCTAAAACAGTTCAAAGCAAATTGTCCAGAACGTCTTATAAAAACGAATGTAGGGAGTAACAGTTCTCCGTATCCCATGTTTTGCTACCAAGTAGTGTGTGTGCCAGGCAGCCAATTATTCACCTATTTATTATCTCCATAGGTCTGCAACTTATACCAGCATATATGTTGAGCAAGAACATAATCTTCAGTACCTTAATTTTTGGTTATACTTGCAGTTGTAACATCTAAATTCTCTGTTAGGATGGTATTCAGTTGCAGGATGGTCCAAATGGAATTGCTTGATCTTTCTTGTACTGTTGTTTTGCTTTCTCTTGGATTCTTGCCATCTATATTGATATTTTATTTATTTGAAAGTCACTGTTGTGTTGTAATTTGTATCTTCAGTTTATCCATCCAGTTTTATTTTTGTTAGCTGATCACATATAGATGTAAAACTTTTAGGTTCTTGCGAGTGGTGGGAAGAACATAGATATTGTGGTGACGACAAAGAATGATGGTCTCGGTCAAATATACAAAGGATGATCTTCGGCCACTTTAGGAAGCTGAAATTGATGAATTATGTTGCTGAGACTGAGGTAGAGAAGGCTGCTACAATGGATGGTGCCCGAGGGGAACATGATCGCTGGATGTGTTAAGCCTTCATTCTGTCAGCCAAAACTTTTAGGGTGCTTTCTGTTGCATTCCATTGCACGATCTAAACTTGTTTTAGCGCTTTAGTTTTGTTATTCGTATATGAATTTTGTTGTTTTCTCGATGGCCTGTAAGCTGTTCTTCTGTTCTTCCGGCGCTTGAATTGGCACAAATTATTACTGCAAGCCTTGCGTATCAGCCTGACATTTGAACATGCTGACAAATCAACATTTCTGCAGTTTGGGTTAATTAGTGCTGCAATGCTTGGTCAGGCATAGCTGATAATGCTCTTGCCTTTTTGGGTATGTCATTACTTTGGCTAATGTTAATTTTGTCTAGAATTTATGCTGGTGCTTTTAACCTGTTGTCATTTCCGCACTCGAGAATCATCACACAGGCTGCCAACAACATGGCATATCTCCTGTTTGTTTTCTGATCTGGCTAACATGATACTCCTTTTGTAAAGAAATATAAGAGTGTTTAGATCACTCAAGTAGAGGGAGTACATTTGAAAGCCCAAATGAGAACACCAACAAGAACCACAGGTGCAAATCCATTTGTAACTAGTTAATCAGATTTTGGAAATAGCCAATCTGCTACTGCGAATATGCTTGGTCAGGCGGATCTGGCATCATCATCATATCATCTGGCTTAAATTTTATTTGCCGTCAAAAGGCCGGTGGAAAGAACGCCGAGCTGACGTGCTAACAAACACGTGGTAGCAAACTATTCTGAAAACTTGTGGACGAAACTTGTCCTACCAAAAGAAATCCAATTTCTTGTCCCACAAATGCTTTTTAGCCCGCTGCATTTCATGTTTTTTGACCAATATTAGTCAACTCCTAAAGCTTGAGCCCAAAAATTTCATAGCCAAACATTGTTGTTTCAGGCAATGATCACACGAGCTTCAAGTTTACACTTTGATTGTCAATTTTTTAGGTACAAACGAGAAGAGCGATGGTGTTATCGCTTGGCATAGGCGGTTAGCTATTTCAAAAACAATCAATGAAAAAGAAGAGAGAAGAGCGATGGTTTTATGCAGGGAGGAACTCCACCCTACATGGCAATGTATCAACTCACTCCTGGTTCTACAGAACTTCTATGAAACGTTGTGCAGCCATGTTCTCTGCTCACCAGCTAGCTAGGTTGGTCGACCGTACTTTATAGGCGGAAGGGTCACCACCAACCAAGGACATATATGCACTTACTTGAGTCGATTGAGCATTACACGATCATATATATCGATGTGATTGGCGGCACAATGCAATGCAACATCATCAGGCTGACCTATTCACTCATCACCATCATCATGCACAAAAATGCAAACCCTCTAGGCTCTAGTGTTGCTATTTCACGAAAGCTGAGTTGATGACCATACATGGGATGCATGGATTAGGAGGCAGTGAGGAAGTAGGTGTTAGAGCAACTCTAGTAGACCTCGCATCCCGCCGACTCGCAAAACGCGTTTGCAGTTCGCGGAAAACGGCCTTTGCGGGCCAACAAGGACGGCCGCAGATGTAGACCCCCAAGCGGACCCGTATAAAAGTATATTCCATGAATATACTTTTATACGGGTCGGCTTTGCGGTGTCTGCTCTTGCACCGCTGCATCCCGCATCTCATCGGCCCACAAATATCAAATCCAACATAATACAACAAACGAAAGCAAACTAAATAATTATTCAAATCCAACATAAGACAACAATCATCCACATTACAAATAATTATTCAAATGACCGAATCAAACTTAAATATTGTAATACAAAACTTATGATGAATACAAATACAAATGAATACAAAAATGAGTCACTGTCCAGCCCTTTGCCGATGGTGCTCAATGAGATCTTCCTGAAGTTGAAAGTGTGTGTTTGCATTTTCAATCTCCTTGTATGTATGAAGAAAAGCTCTAATGCGGTTAGAGTCTCTAGCTGGTTTGATACGGCTACCCACATTGTCGTAGAAGAATTCCAAGTTCATTCCTCTCTCATCTTCAAGAATCATATTGTGAAGGATAACACAACATGTCATGATATTTCAAGGTTCTCTTATCCCAAAAACGAGCAGGACCATGGACAACGCCATATGCAATCACCCGCATAGCTGTGGAGATTTTCTGATATGCACTAAATCCCTTTAAGCCCTCAACATTTCTTCTTTGAGTAAAATACCGGCAATTTGCCTCACAAGCTTGAACAATTTTCACAAAGACGGTACCTTCTCCGGAAGAGGTGCGGTGGATATGTAGGATTTTTCGCGAAGTAGTCTTGCATCAACATCTCGTTCTCAAGATGGCGATTCCGAGGAATGCAAAGAAGCCCGACGGTCGATCCTCGCCTCCTCTTCCGGTTCTCGTCTTAGTGCTCCTTCACGTCAAGTGCCATCACTAATGTCTGCTGCCGAAAGGTCGCAAGCATGGTCTCAGCATCCCAGTCGTCCGAATCAGACGAATCAGAGAACAAGAACTTCTCGCACGGGGTCAATTCCATCTATATGCATACCAGCACCGGCGCATCAATCAACTATACCACTCGCAAAATATCTCAAAACAAACACTAACCAAGGGTGGATGCGGTAGGTGATCCCGGACGGCGACGAGGGACAGGCTCGGCGGTGGTCGATCCCCGGCGGGCGGCGGCGGCGGCGACGAGGGGCGGCTCTTCTCGCCGGATCCGGGCGGGTCGGTGCAGTGTATCGGCGCGGGAGGGTGGGGGACGGCCCCGCAACGCGATTCCGCCCGCAGATTTGGTCGGAATCGCCGGTGGTGGACGGGCGGAAGCAAGGGCGGTCGGCGGCGGAAGAAGGTGGGGAAAGGGCGCGGGCTGAAATTTCCCTCCTGTCAACTGCTTCTCTGTGATGCAAGGCACTGCAGCGGTGAGCGGGAAACCCGCGTATTCGCGGGTTGGGGCTGAGATTTTACCACGTTCCTCAAATTTTTTTGCGGACCGGGGCGGAATGCGGGGTCTGATCAAGCAGGTTTTTCCACCGTTACCCGCATTTTAACGGTTATTTTGCGGTCGGGGCCAGATGCGGGATCTGCTAGAGTTGCTCTTACACATCTCTCTACATCATTTGTTTACATGCTTCGAATCGACCGAGAGAGAAGGACACTCAGCTCTCAGGCGAGGATGCTGTGCTCACGGACCAAGCTTGGCGGGCGTGTCCTGCGCCTTGAACGGATGAGCAGAGCTGCGATGGTAGCGCGTAATATCTGCCTGCTCCGTGCTCATCGAGTGGTAGCAAGTGTAGCTTCCTATCAGTACCTCGAGCTGGGCAGCAATGTGCAATTGGGCAACAAGTGTAGCTGCTGCTGCTGTGTGTGTTGATCCAAACATTTCTAGTCCAAGATTTCAGTGAGTCACTATCACGCGTGACCTGGTCTTTCACTCTTTCGTTGTTCTTCTAGCGCGCTTGATTTGGCACAAATTGGTAGTATAAGCCAGGCATTTGAACAGGCTGACAAATCATTTTTTTTGAAGCCAGGCATTTGATTTTTCTTTTAATCTACCGCTTGATTTGGCATAAATTGTTGGTTAGTACTCCCTCCGTCTCATAATATAAAAGCGTTTTTGACACTAATATATTATTGGACGGAGGGAGTAGTTGATTATGTTGTTTTCCTTTGACCATTCCACTTGGGTTGATATATAGTGATCTCACCTGATAATGCTGGTGCTTTCGACCTCTATTTATTTTTGAACTCAAGAATCAACACATGAGCTGGAAATAATATTACATCTCCCCTGTCGTGGCTACTATTTTTATCTAGCTAACATGATGCGTGTGAAAAGTGAAACCAAAACAGATGGAAAATTATGGACTAGATGCTCTAGTTGTTGACCACACTAGCAATAACCATACGCGCAGAACTAATTTTCACTAGTTAATCACATTTTGGAAGCAGCAAACCCGCTAATGCTCATTTGCTTGGTCAGACAATATCAATAGACTTTGTTTGCTGAGCGCAT